ATGCTGCCTTCTCCCACCCCTCCCTGTCTCAACTCTGGCCTCCAGGAAAAGAGAATGTTCACAGGTCCCCACAGAGCCTTTTATGGGCCACAGCTACCATCCAAGATGCTGGTGAATAAGGCACAGCAGTGATCAAAGGCCTGCTTGTCCCTCAGCACGCAGGACATGGGAACAGGCTAGGGACCTGGGTACAAACTACTGCCTCTTCTGCCCCATTCCACATGTGGCCCTGCATTGATCTTCCCTGGGCCTCAATTTTTGCCTTTCCCCAAAAGAAAATGACACTCCCCCTTCCTCCCCAACCAAGGACAGCCTAGGTTAAGGCACTTAGTATAATCTGGTAATCATTACAGCCATGTGCCTATCGTATCCCCACCACTGAATAAGATCCTTGGGGAAGCTGCCACGTATCAAGTGTTCAGTAAATACACAAGGAGTGAGGTGAAAGGGTAAGAAGGGAAGAGATGGAAAGTCAAAGGGAATGAAGTTAAGTGTTTAATATTTCTACATTTCCTCATACTTTAGTATTTACTGCATTCAGCTGGAAATAATTTTTAAATGGCAATAAAACATATTACACATTTTTAAAAATCTGCTTTTTGGCCAGGCATAGCTTTTCACACCTGTAATCTCAGCACTTCAGAAGGCCAATGTGGGAGGATCACTTGAGCCCAACAGTTCAAGGCCGCAGTGAACTATAATTGTGCCACTGTACTCCAGGCAAGATCCTGTCTCCAAAAAAAAAAGAGTCTGCTTTTCTGTGTTACTCATGGGAAGTTGCTCAGAATTCCATGTGACCTCAGGAGGTTGTATCTCTGAGGCCTGTGAGCTGAAGGTATTCCTGCCCCAAAATTATACTCAGACATATGCCCCTCCACCCCAGGCATGCCTCCAGCATCTCATTCCTGGGTCATCTTAACCTGTCCTTCTATCAATCATCCAGCAACTCCAGGTGAGACCTCCTCTACAGGAGAAGGGTTTCTTTTCTAAGTCATGAATCTTAAAAACAGGATTACTGGTGTTGAACAATAAGATGGGTAGGAGGGTATGTGGGAGGCAGAAGAAAAGGTCCTTGCCTACCACTTTCCTTTGGAGCCTGCTGGTTCTCCTTCTCTGTTTTTTGACTATCTACACATGGCTCTAAGCACATAACCAGTATTAAATACCATCCTCTATGACTCTTTACAAATTAAGAACTCAAAGTAAAGGAAGAAAGGAAAGAAGACATTTGAACACAGAACAGATACCTGCTTTCTCTCAGTTGTGAGGACCTCAAATTAAGCCTCTGGATTGAGGTTTCATGTTTCATACAAGTGCCTGAGTACATACAAAAGAAGAGAAGGTAGAAAAGTCCCAGCATCAAAGATAAATAAGATTAATATGTCTGATAAATTATTTTAAATAGAAGAAAGAGATAAATTGAGAAAAGAGCTGTGCTAGGTCTCCTAACTGTCCAGGTTCCTCCTAACTGCATAAGGGAGCAACAAAGGGCTGAGAAATTGGCAGGTAAACCAGGAGTACTTGCCCTAGGGCCAGTACACTGGCTGCCACATCCCTTCATATTCTCTATGAGGAGTCCAGGGTCTATCACATTAGTGACGCTGACAACCATACTCAACAGGAATGGTGGCAGGGAGGGGAACTGAAGGTGGTCATTGAGGGCAGGAATGCTACAGGGGGAAGAGAGATTCCTACTGAGTCCCCACCTCAATAAGACTGCAAAAGAGCAGGGAAAATCCCTGGGGCCAGGAGGAGCCCAGGAAAAAGGTAGAGACTTGACAGCAGTTGAAGCCACTAAGCAAATGCTAAACCAGGCAAGAAAGGATTCTGGTTGACATTACATTATAGCCCTTTTTGAGGATCACTTGAGGCCAGGAGTTCATAACCAGCCTCGGTGATAAAGTGAAACCCTATCTCAATATGCATAACACATATATATTACAGCCCTTTTAGCTTTTCAGAGTATTAATATTTTCATATAAATTATTTCAGGTCATCTTCACAATAATCTAATAAGGTCTATAAAGGAAAGAGTGTTCATATTTAATATAAGGAAACTGAGGCTGGGAGTGGGAATGACTTGTCTGAGGCCACACTGCTAGTTAGTTGAAGGCAAAGCAGAACTCATCTCCCAGACTGCTTTAAAGAACAGACCCTGAGGCTGGGAGGCAGTGTCTCTCAAGACTGAGAAAATGAATGAGTTTATTGAAAGGTTCAAATTCACGGTCACATTGAGAAAAAATGGATCTAATAATGAGGTCAAAAGACCCTATCCCAGTATATTCTTTGGGTAAGAGAAAAAGAGGCAGAGATAACACCGGCATACACTCTGGTCATCTAGTGTAAAGACAGAATCTCAAACACAAACTATTTTTTAAAAGACCCCAAGACCTCATTTCTGGAGTTAGGGGAAGATCATCTTAAATAACTGTGGGTCAGGAGCTGACAGAGTGAAAGAATCATCCCAAGGCTGAGGTGGGAAGATGGCTTGAGCCCAGGAGTTCAAGACCAGCCTGGGTAACACTGTGAGACCCCTCTCAAAAAAAAAAAAATTCATCCCAGGGCCAAGAAGAGGACAGGAAGACCCTGAAGATGAATGTGAAGAAAACATAAGGCCTAGGTCTTCACCAAAGATGAGACACATCAAAGCCTTAGCAGAGGGTCTGGCACAGAGCAGATGACTACTAAATGTTAGCTGCTAGTAGTAGTGGCAGTCATATAGTAGTAGTAATGCTAGAAAGCTAGGTCCTTCCCCAAAGCCAGTCTCCAAGTTGTGACTAAAAAACCCAAAATCAGCTTACTGTAATCTTAAATGCTTCTTAATGATGAGGGCAGACTCTGTCCTCAACCTCTTTTATTGACACCATCTTCAACAGTTGTTGTGCCCTATTCTGTTAAGAGGTAGCCTAACACATTCCAGAAGAGGAGGCTGGAATAGAGAAATGTGGGGTAGGGATGCAGGGCAGAGCCTGTTTGTGTTCTTTGGCTTCAATCCATATGCAGGAAGCACACGGACCATCTCCAGCCCTGAGAGCGTCTCTCTACCACCACCTCCACTCCAGTCTCCCCAAACCAGCAGAAGTCCACAAGCAACCATTAAGACAAAGTCACCAGCACACTTGTCACTTCTCACTGGCTATAGCACTTTCCTTCTATTCAGCCTACAGATGCCCAGGTCTGGCTAACTGGCTTTAAAAAGGGCAGCATTAGGAAGAAACGGAGGAGGAGACAGAGCTCAATGGCTCCATTTTCCACTCTCCGCTCCCACACACTTAGCCTCTCCACTCCCTGCTGGTCTTTCCTTCCCTCTTTCCTACGATTGCTAGAATGATTTGTTTTGAACAGCGACAGGTTTATAGGTTAGCCGACACCTCTGCTCTGTGGAATTTTAATTAACTTCTCCCATCGTCAATATGCTAAGGAACGGGGTCTCCATTCTCTGGGGTCAGCAATGTGTTTCAGGTCCTGCTATATCAGCCGTCAAATTGAAGAATTAATGACATGGCTAATCGGCTCTAATTCTTAGAAAGAAAAAAATCTGAAAGGGAGTTATAGAAGGGAGCAGGAGGAGGGGTGCAGGCTCCATAGGGTGAGGAGAAAGAAGCTGAAGGGCCTAAGCGAAGTGGGCAGGACCAAGTCTCTTATAAAATAAGCAACTGACTTAAACCTAGTGTTGGAGGGTGGCAGCCCTACAGCTTTCACATTTCCATGTGAGTAGGGTGAAGGAAGTGGACGAAGATCCTAGGAAAATGTTGTGATAGAACAGGTATAGGAGAATCTATGTACCCTGCAGGGGAGGAGAGGGATTCTGTCTCGGTTCCAGAGAGCCTTGAAAGCAGAACTCGGGATGCAAACCTCACTTGTCCATAGGTAAGGTTAAAGACATAACAGTCAGGGCCAGGTGCAGTGGCTCATGCACTTTGGGAGGCCAAGATGGGAGGATCACCTGAGGCCAGGAGTTCGAAACCAGCCTGGTCAATATAGAAACACCCCATTTCTAAAAACAAAACAAAACAAAAACAAACAAACAAAAAAGAACAAAAATAACCCACCCCATTTCTAGGGCCGGGTGCGGTGCCTCACACCTGTAATCCCAGCACTTTGGGAGGCCGAGGCGGGCGGATCACGAGGTCAGGTGATCCAGACCATCCTGGCTAACACGGTGAAACTCTGTCTCTATTAAAAATACGAAAAATTAGCTGGGCGTGGTGGCAGTCGCCTGTAGTCTCAGCTACTTGGGAGGCTGAGGCAGGAGAATGGCATGAACCCAGGAGCAGAGCTTGTAGTGAGCCGAGATGGTGCCACTGCACTCCAGCCTGGGTGACAGAGCAAGACTCTGTCTCAAAAAAAAAAAAAAAAGAAACACCCCATTTCTAAATATAAAATAAAATAAACAATAATAAAAAAAAAGAAGTAACAATCAGGCCAAACGGTACAGTAAAGCCATCATCAAAATTTCACAGTTTTGCTATAATAATCAATGTCACTACTTCACATACATGTCTTTGTTTGAGGACCCAGCTGGATCTGGGCCCCAAGCCTCTCCTGATGACTTAAGTCTGTAAGGGATACTCCAGAGGCCATTTTCCAAGGGGAGCAAAGCAGACATGTGAGTTGTAAGAGCAGGTTGGCTGGTGTTGTCACCTTCCAAGGGTGGTGAGAGGCCTCTGCTTCGGGAATGACCCCAGAGGACAACTGTTCCAGAAGGGACACTCCTGGTTAACAGCTGGATTCTTAGTTATATTCTCATATAGTACTCTTTCCTTAACATTTCTGAGGTTAGATGCTTAGGAAATTTGCATTTAGAAGGTTATTTCAATCCCACGCATATATGAAGTGACCTAAACACCTCAAATCTCTGGAGGATTAAAAAAATCTCCAAGACAGTGACTCAAAGCAACCTAGAATACACAACAGGAAGATTTTCTAGCTCACCTGATCTAGTAAAATAAATGCATTATTATACAGGACAAAACTACATCCAAATATGTCTCCCTTACCTGAGTAATGGGCTGATAGCAATGGACCAGACTCGGTCTTCAGTCTGGATGGTGTGTAAGCACTGCCCCAGCTGGCCTGAGGCCAAAGGCCACACCTAGAAACAGGAGAGGAGATGCTCTCGTTGGCATTGCCTGGGATCAGTGGGGAGGAGAGGTGCTCCGGCAGGGGTGACTGTTGGAGGTGGAGAAATGGGGAATCCTTTATGCCCTGCACACACAGAGCTCAGGTATCAGCAGAGGAGCCCCTGCAGCTTCTGGCTCACCTACCCCCACAGATAGGGCCTAGCTCTCCATCCTAACCACCCTCTTTTACTTCCACTCAGAGCCCTTACTTACCAGCCAACTTTATATTGGGGAATCAGAAGTTCCACATTCCTCAGCTGAGACTTGACTGAGAAGAAGTGGGTGGGTGGGGCTTGCCTCTCTTGACAGCTTTCCTGTATTTGTGGATTTTCCTTTCTCCTATCTCTCACCAAGATTTTACTTTGGAGAAGTAGGGAGAGGGAAGAAGATCAAGGCACAATATAGGGGGACAGCAATAGAATCAGGGAGAGAAGTAAAAAGAAAGATGCAAGGGAAGGAAAGAATGGAAGAAGAAGAAAGACTTCCAAGTGGGAAGGTGGTGTGTTGTTGTTTGTTTGTTGATAATGCCCAGGATCCAAAACTATTCACGTCAGCAGGGAATTTAGCACCTAGTGTCACCAAAAGTAGCAGAAAAGCTTAACTCTTTTAAGCTTCCATATCTCCTACAGGTTAAAAATATTGCTTGGAGCACATTATCTGGTCCCTATCAGTCAGGAATGTACATTAGCAGCCACTCTGGGCTTAACTCTAATCAACACTCACAGAGCCCTCTCAGCAGTCAGTGCATTTAGACATTTCCCATTAAGTACAGGACTCCCCCCTCACCTCACCCTACCCTAGATGACACACACAGGGACATAAGCCTCTAACCAAACAGAAAGGAAACCTCAGACATACAGGGCTATCCCAAGACAGCAGCAACAGAGGGATCCAGAGGCAGCCAGATGGATCAGTGACCTCTTAAGGTCCCAGCAGTGCTATAAGGGGAACATACAAAACTCAGGCAGGACCTTAGATGGAAGAACTTTAAAGGAAACATTCCTTGAGTGTAAAGGGTAGGTGATGGAGTAGGGGTGATCCTGGCTTCTTAGGGTCACATGATAACTCTTCCCTATAAAAGGAGAAAGTGTTTCTTAGAGTTTGTGTGTATGATAGGTGTGGGGGATGGGATGATTGTGTGAGTTACTTTTCCCAACACAGTGAAAAGAAAATAAACGTAAGAAGAAGATCCTAAATGAGGAGGAGCAGAAAACAAAGGTAAACACCACAACTTTTCCTGAGTGCCATGATTCAGGCCTGCTCTTTGGACTCTATACCCCTTTGGCAATAACTAGATACATTTCCAATGTACTCTTTTAGGCAGCCCAGCTAAAAAGAGAGCTTTGCCTTTTCCCTGACACAAACTCCCTGGGAGGCAGATTCTTTCTTGGGGGTGAGGAAACACTAAAGATTCTGATTACAAAATCTATGGGGAAGGCCTAGGCCTGAATTCACTAATGTCCTCCATGGAAAGGGAAGGTGGATTCCTAAATTCTGCAAACCACAGAACAAGGTTCCTGGTCTCCAGGAGCGGCTCAGGAAGCATGCCACCAATTCTGAGCATGATCTTAAGAAAGTGGCCCTCCTGGCTTAGCCCAGCAACACATTATCCTCCAGAAACATGAGATTCCATCCTGGCACCTGAGGGACAGGAGTTGACAACAATACGCTGATCCTATCTTTGCCCTCCATGGCCAAATTCAAAACAGATCCAACCCTGGAAAAGATTCAGTGGGAGTGGTCTTTTTATTTTTATTTTTCGAGATTTTTTTTTTTTTTTTTTTTTTTGAGAGTCTTACTCTGTCGCCCAGGCTGAAGTGCAGTGGCGCAATCTCGGCTCACTGTAAACTCCACCTCCTGGGTTCATGCCATTGTCCTGCCTCAGCATCCCGAGTAGCTGGGTCTACAGGCGCCTGCCACCAAGCCTAGCTAATTTTTTTGTATTTTCAGTAGAGACAGGGTTTTGCCATGTTAGCCAGGATGGTCTCAATCTCCTGACCTCGTGATCCACCTGCCTCAGCCTCCCAAAGTGCTGGGATTACAGGTGTGAGCCACCGCGCCCGGCGGAGAGTGGACATTTATACAGTTCTTTTAAAAAGCAGACTGGTGGCCAGGCGCGGTGGCTCAAGCCTGTAATCCCAGCACTTTGGGAGGCTGAGGCAGGTGGATCACGAGGTCAGGAGATCGAGACCATCCTGGCTAACACGGTGAAACCCCGTCTCTACTAAAAAATACAAAAAAAACTAGCTGGGCGCGGTGGCGGGCGCCTGTAGTCCCAGCTACTCGGGAGGCTGAGGCAGGAGAATGGCGTAAACCCGGGAGGCGGAGCTTGCAGTGAGCTGAGATCCGGCCACTGCACTCCAGCCTGGGCGACAGAGCCAGACTCCGTCTCAAAAAAATAAAAGGCAGACTGGTGATATGCATCACGACTTTTAAAATGATCACAGCCTTTAACTCAGTCATTTTGTTGATGAAAATCTATCCTAAAGAAAATAATCCTAAAACAAAAGAAAAACCTAAATGGTAAAATATTCCCTGCAGCCTGCAATTGCAGAAAAAAGCATGCATAGGCTTTGGCATCTGACCAATCTGGATTTGAACCCTAGTTGCTACTTATTATCTTTGATCTTAGGAGTAACTTCTTAGCTTCCGTTTCCTCATCTGTCAAATGAGAAATGATGCCTATCTCAGGGTTATAGTGTGGAAAAGTGGAGATACGCATAAGGCATTTAGCACAGCAGCATAGTATTTGGTAGGTATCAGGCAAACAATAATGGTGGTTCTTATTACAATAAATCTTCCCTTCTAAGCCAGATATGATCTGATCTCTCTACCTTCTAAACTTTCTGGCTCTTTCCCTAGAGCTTTATACTCCACAGTCCTAGCCACTTCCAATCAGCTCCATGGCCAGGTATGCACATCTCTTCTCAACCTAAGGGTAAGAGGCTGTATCTTCCTTACTTCTGAAGAGCCCAGGTGCCTCTGTACCAAGCCTCATACATAGTAGGCACTCGTAAGAAAGAATAGAGAAATAAAGAAGGAAACGAAGGAATGGTTAGTACCAGCCCAGGCTCATTAAGAACATAAGCTATCATCTTTTCACATCTCAGGATGGGGCTGGCCCCACTAAAGTCCAGAGACGCAATCCAAGCTAAGCCACAGAAAACCTGAAACTGAGATTGTGGGAAGGGGAAGGAAGAGGGTTCTTTGGACAGTCCCTAGCTCAGATGTCTTGCAAAGAGATTGTTTTACTTCCCTTTACCCCATAAAATAAATCTCTTTCCTAAAATACAGTACATATTTGGGGAACTCCCCAAAAATAGATGGTTACAGGCAAATATCACTGTAAATTCTTATGAAGGTTCAGGTGTATTAGAAGCCTGGAGAAGCAGCTGTAGAATTTCAGATGCCACTGAAAAGAAATGACGTTTCAGTTATAAAAGACAAACTGAATATAACAGTAATGTAGAAATGGCTCAGGATAACAAAGGGCTGGATGCAAAGACAACAACAGAAAGGAGGGAAACCCAGCATCTGGAAAGCCAGGAAAGAAGAGTTGGCAGAGAGGTCACAGGGGAGCTGCAAACCAGCTGACCAGCTTTCAGGACCAGAGAAGAGAATTCTGTCACTGACCTAAAAGAAATCCTCAGAAGGATTAAGATGGACTGTGGTGACAATTTTAGAAGGAAGAATTTATTTTAGATCTTTTAAAAAATCTAAGATACTAAATAGGGCTAAACCAGTACTCAAACATGAAACTAACCCAATACCTCAAATAAACTTGCTATTATTCTTCAACGGTAAGCAATCCACACCCTTAGATTGCTATCTGTGGTTATAAAGCTTAGTTTTATACTGCTCTGAGTTTCAGACTACAGAGAATAGAAGAAAGAGGTGTCACTGAAAAGGAGGAACTTGGGGAAGCCTGAAGCCATGACAGGAAGATGGCTAGAATAAGACAGGAATACCTAGGTCACACATGCCACAAAAGGTTTCTATGCAAACTGACTTTTGAGCAGTATAACACGTTTAGGTCTGGATCTTTTCAGGGAATGGTACAAGGACAGTGACCAATCAGAAGCCTGAAGTAAGTAGAAAGTAGGGTAACAGGAAGCAAGTGACAGGAAATTCAGTTTCCATGTTGGTTCAAAAGATATGCTGGATTTTTCTCAAGCTTCCTGTGCTGGTGTGCATTCTCTCTGACAGAGTACAAAGTAAGGCAGAAAATAGTAAAGGGAGGAGAAACTTCCATAAAAAGAAGGGAACATATTTAGCCCTTCTTTTTACATAAAATAGCAATATTTCTATATGGAGGTGTAATCACCAGAGGGTACATGCAGTCGGAGAAGTTACTGAGTAAAGATTGCAATTTCCCTCTCCTGAGTTCTCTCCCTATGTGTTTTTGAGGCCCATTTGCTGACATACCAGCAAGCATTTTGTTCCTGTTAGCACTATGGAACCTAGATGCTAGGAAACACGTAACAAGACACTATTGGGCCTCCTGCATCACCAACTGAATTGTCAGCAAAGTTCCCACAGCAACCCTAAAGGACCAGGCCTGTGTAGGCCCTGGCTACAGCTGTTGGGCACATGCCTGGAGAAAGACTTCTCTGTCTCACAGGTGGGAGCCTATTTGACCCAGATGTGGATGAGTCCATGAAGTCAGGATCATGCTATTTATCAGCCTCACTTTCTTTTATGCTTTGCTTTGGTGGATATCTGTGGACCGGGCAATTTGGCAAAGATGCAACAAACAACACCCCTCTCTCATAGTCTCTACTGCTTACTGACCACATCACTCTCCAGAGAAACAGTGAAAACACATTTTAATTATCAGCCTGATTGCTTATAAACAAGGTGGTGAAAAATTAACCTCCCTAAACAGAGAGCAGGCAATAAGGAGGGAGATTTTAAAATAAAATATTAGGGTCAGAACTCAACCCACAAACTTGAGGAAACGCAACTCAGGGAGGAAAGGCTGCCAGGTCCTCTGTTTTTGAGTTCACGCCACATTGCAAGTGAGTGGCAGCCTTCCCAGCCACTGTCCACTCCTTTCCCAGTCCAGTTGGCAGGGACAACACCTGGCATGGCAAGCTGCATGCCAGAGGCACATAAGTGAGTCCTTTATTGTGTCGTTTTCTCCCCCGCCCCCAGCCGATACTCTCAGCCAATCCTGGGACTCGGGGCTCTATCCACCCCACTCCCTATAGACAGGAGAGAGTAATAGTATGTAACGGGGAGACCACCTCACCTTGGCCGTCCTGTCCCTGGAGCCACTCACAATGATGCCTCCTTTGCAATCCACACAGTTCACCTCCTGTTCATGAGCCGAGTACTTGACAGTGAAGGTGCTGTGAATCTTATGAACGCCAATCTTCCCATCTCTAGGAGAGAAATAAGGAGCCGACCCCCAAGAACCAATTATTCTTTCGGTAGGAAGAGAACAACTCTCCAGAAACAGCCTAAGTCTCCAGTGACATCCAAATTTGCTAAGCAATAGGCAATTCAGCCCAGTATGGTGCTGACTTTCTAGATACCTTTACTTCTTCAGCACACCTGGGGCTGAACAGAGCTGAGAGACAAAATATATTTTCCCCTGGAGAATATCAAAACCAGCTTCACTTTTCATTAGAAGCTCTTCCTGTTTTCCTTCTCCAGCTAACCCTATTAACTCTTTTTAGTAAAATCTCTCTGCTTTAAATGGAAAACCCTCCGTCTCCCTCCTCATCCCTTTGGAGTTAAGACAGAAAAGTCAGAGACAGGCAGAATGTCCCCGAAAAATAAGATGGAAAAGGGTGGAAGGAGAAACCTGCAGCACTTACCCTCCTGCACTGATAATATGCGAGTTGGCCAGCACAAAGTGGCAAACGTCCTCATCATGCCCAGCAAAGACTCCTAGAGGCCGACGGTTCAAGCTGGCACCATCTGGACGGAACTGGTAGGCCAGGATGAAATTAGCCTGGGATATGTACAGAGAATCATCCTCTAGCTGCATCCAGGGCATCTGACTGAAACGATGGAAAATAAAATTTAAGTCATCAAGATACAGTATGAAAACTCAACTCCAATCTTTGAAGGGTCTGACCAATCCCTAACTTAGCAAGGATAACAAGGCTTATTATCTATACTTGATATCCTCCTTCAAAATTACCTACCCCTCAGCTATCCTCAGAAAACTAGAGTAATTGAACTTTGTGGTGATCTAATCTTCCTTGGACTTTCTAAAAGAGACTCAAAATTAAAAGACCAACTAAATACCACTTTTAATTGGAGAATATTTAATATTTCAATTACTGGCTACCTGGACTTCTCATGGGTAGGCAGAGCTTACAAAATTCAATGGTCAAGGGGTGAGAAGGGTCAAAAAGAAATCTTCAGCTGGGCACAGTGGCTCACACCTGTAATCCTAGCACTTTGGGAGGCCAAAGTGGATCACCTGAGGTCAGGTGGATCACCTGAGGTCAGGAGTTCGAGACCAGCCTGACCAACATGGTGAAACCCCATCTCTACTAAAAATACAAAATTAGCCGGGCATGGTGGTGCATGCCTGTAATCCCAGCTACTCCGGAGGCTGAGGCAGAAGAATCGCTTGAACCTGGGAGGCGGAGGTTGCAGTGAGCCGAGATCGCGCCTGGTGACGGAGGGAGACTCTGTCTCAAAAAAAAAAAAAAAAAAAAGAAAGAAAAGAAAAAAGAAAAGAAATCTTCTAGCCAGGTGAAATAACTTTCTTTCATTCAGCATCCTCATCGATTTGAAGTATAAGTGGGAAGTTTCAAGGTTCTAGGATTCCCATACATACCTCTTCCGCAATAGATCAGTTAAGGTATGATGGAGAAAAGAGAAGAATAAACCCTGGGAAGCCCCATTCCCTTATTCTGTTAGAGCTAAGGGGCCATTTTTAAGTGAAAGGAATGAAGCTATTTAGGAAAGGATGCTAATGTACTGATTAGATACCTAGATCCTCACAGGGATATCTACATTTCTGTATTAGAGGGTAAGTGTGGCAATGGAAAAACACAGCCCCAGAGCATTCTGCTACAGTTCAGGGGCTACAGAGAAAATCAGCTCTCACAGGCAACTGATAAGAGAAATCCACAAATAGTTAAAGATTCCCTCTGCAATCTTACAGGAGGAAGAAAGGCTAGAAGGCACAGACAAGTCCTGCGGCAGGGAATGAGCCTTAAGAAGAAAGAAGACTGTCAGATACTAGGCTCTCTGGTGGAAACTAAGTCCCTTTAACAAGGTGGACATCCCACCTGTCCTATTCTACATAGGGGTCCTGGAGTTACCAGGTCCCAAGAAAAGCACAGGGACAGCTGATTCATCCCCAAGAACAGCCACCATCTCCTATTGCCAAGCCTGTCTGAGCAAACTGGGCTGTGTTTCTTCCCCAGACTCAATACAAGCGTCATGGGAATGTGGAAAAGTTCTGCAAATTGACTTGACGGGCCATTAAATGCAGCTTAGACTTTGTAGTAACTGAGTTTCTGCTCATGAGGTTTTTACAAGTGTGTGCATATATTACATGGAACATGTGTAGAGTGTGTACAGATGCCTGCTTTCTCACTCATTATGCACATTCCTCTTGAATATCCCCTTGCGTGAGTGTGTGGCACACTCAAGTAGGCAGCAAACAGAGAGGGTGGGAATTTTTGTGTTTAGAGCCATCTGGTAAACAGCCATTTGCCTAGGACAAGAAACCAGGTTCATGCCAGGTGAACAGTGGAGAATCCCAGGGCAGCCTGGTAACTGTTCTGTGTGTTTATTTGCCAAACTGCTTGAAACTAGCCCCAAAGGCAATGTGGGAAGCAGAGGGTAAAGTCCTTCATCATAAAAATCCGTCTTTCTCTCCTGCAGTTTCTTTACCATCACCACAACCACTACCCAATACCACATTATTCACAGCATCTGATGCCAGTGAAACCAGTGGAAACTGGACACAAGCAAGCAAGAAAGGTTCATCAGATGAAGAGGCCTGCCTGTGTCTTCAGCACAAGTATAGGTCACTCCAGAATGTGGAATCATGATGTTCCTTATCCATTGCAACCAATCAACAAGGAGCAATTCTTTGGTAGGGAGTCAAATAATAACTATGAAATCATTTAGCATCAATGAAGCATAAAAATCGGTGGCATTAGCGGTGCCACAGGCATTTTCTAAATTTCCTTATACTTGTTCTAAGCTCTAACTCCTGTAACATATGTATCCAAACCTTTAGATCCTACCCTGCCTTTTAATAAAGTAGGGGAGAGGACTCAGGGAAGCCAAGAATGAAGAAGTAACTCCATAGAGTAGAAGATTTAAAGAAAAATATTTGTAAAATAAGATTAATTGAAACCTTGATTTCATTTATTTCCTTTGATGGCATAAGTTAACAGAGGTTACCTTTGAGTGGTGGAGTTACAGGTTAGTTTTATTTTCTTCTTTAGAACTTTCTTTTTCTTCAAATTTCTAAAATAAGCATTGATTTCTTTATAATCATAAAAAAAGTCATTTGTTAATGTACATTTCTTGTATTCCCTTCTTTAAATGTGAAAAAAGTTGTCCTTCTGATGCCCCCTTTGTGGTATTCAAAGGCTCACCAGTGCAACCCCACCCAAGATAGCCCCATTAGCCTCTATGTAGGACCAGATTTTTTACTTTCCATTATGCTTTTATGTCCCAAGTAGCTTTAAAAAAGTCAAGAGGCTACTTGCCTGCATCTCCACTTCAGCAGAATCGCCTCTCGGCAGCGCCCCAGTCTCCAGTTCTGAGACACCTTCACCCGTTCCTTCACTGGGACACTGGTCATCCTATGTCCAGACAGAACAAATAATCCAATCACTACAACTTATTGCCAACCACAGAAAATTCCATGGGCTTACTGAGTCAGGATTCAGGAGCATCCAGAATACAAGTAAAGAGATTAGGAGACCAGGAAGGAGTAACTGTTCTCTCTCCATACTTGACTAACTAAAAAAGCCAAGGAGAAAAGCCTGTCCTTTAAACTATTAAAAATGTCCACAGTGATGCCAAAGCAATCTAATGGAGAATGGATGACAATCCTGGAACCACTGGACGTCCAGATTGGGGAAAAAAAAAAAAAGAAATGAACCCTGACCCCTACCTCACACCATACAGGAAAAGTAATTCAAAACAGGTCATAAACTTAAAATCTAAAACTATAAAGCTGTCAGAAGAAAATACATGAAAACATCTCTTTGGCTACGAAGGTAGACATGGATTTCTTAGGACACAGAAAGCAATAACAGAAAATAAAAATCCAATAAATCAGACTTCATCAAATCCAAAACCTCTGTTCACCAAAATTAATACACAAGCCGTCATCTGGGAGAAAAGATTCACAGAATGCATATCTGACAGGAGTTTGTACCCTGATGAGGAAGTCCTCTCTGTATTTGTTCATATATTTTTGGAAGACCAATAAGAAACTCTCCTACATTGTTGGTGGGAAAGCAAAATGGTACAGCCATTTTGGGAAAAGGTCTGGCAGTTTATTATAAATCTAAACATATTATGTACTCTATGAACTAGCAATAACTTTAGAGAAACAAAAACACTTACACAAGAATGTTCATAGAAGTTTTAGTAATAGCCAAAAGTGGTAAACAGCCCAGGCATCCATCAACAGGAAAGTGGATAGACACACTAGGGTAGGTTCATATAATGGACTACTACTCAGCAAAAAAAGGAAAGAAGTACTGGTACACATTGTAATGTGGATGAATCACAGAAACATTCTGTTGAATGAAATAAATTTTACACAAAAGAGATCGTAGTGTATGATTTCATTTACATGAAGCTTGAGAAGAGAGACAACTAACCTATGGCGAAAAAAATCAGAACAATTATTACCACCAGGGTAGGGATGGAGACTGACTAGCAAAGAACATTTGGAAACTTTCTGAGGTAATATTCTATATTTAAGTCTTGAGGGGGTTTGGGTTATACAAGTGTATATGCATTTGTGAGAAATGGACCAAATGTGCAGGATGTGGTGGCTCACAAATGTAATCACAACACTTTGGGAGGCCAAGATGGGAGGATCACTTGAGCCCAGGAAATTTAGGTTACAGTGAGCAGTAGTTCCACCACTGCACTCCAGCCTAGGCAACAGAATAAGATTCCCTCTCTAAAAAAATAAAAGAGAAAAGAAATACATCAAATGATACACAAGATTTGTGCAGTTCACTGAAATATAAATTCACTGTATATATATTTTTCTTAAAAAAAAAACCCATAAACTAATATAATCTAGTCAATGATATGCATGCACATTGAAGCCGTTAGGGATAAATGTACTGATATCTGTAACTTATTTTGAAATGCATGATAAAGCAAATACAGCCAAATATTAATTGTAGAACCTAGGTGGTGCATATATGAGTGTTCATGGTACAATTCATTCAACTTTTCTATGAGTTTTAAATTCTTCAAAACATTGGAGGGTGAGTGTCAACAGTACTTTCTGGGTGAGCTGAGTTAACAGCAATAAGACAGCACACAAGCAACACGAATGGCACCGTTTGGGGATGGATTAATAGGCAATAGGGAGAAGAGCTCTAAGCCCCTTAGAGAGTACACCTTTGAAGAGAATTTTGAAATCATGAGCAAGAATTTGAAAATTCCATTTTAGGCTCCCATATATCTCCTGTGTCTCCTTAGCTTGCCCCACTGCCCCTACAAGGTACACTGCTTGGGACACAGAGTGATAACTGCCACGTCTGCCTGGAAATTTGCTGGCCAGGGAGAGATACACTCATTTCTTTTTTTTTTTTTTTTTTTGAGACGGAGTCTCACTCTGTAGCCCAGGCTGGAGTGCAGTGGCCAGATCTCAGCTCACTGCAAGCTCCGCCTCCCGGGTCTACGCCATTCTCCTGCCTCAGCCTCCGGAGTAGCTGGGACTACAGGCGCCCGCCACCTCGCCCGGCTAGTTTTTTTTGTATTTTTCAGTAGAGACGGGGTTTCACCGTGTTAGCCAGGATGGTCTCGATCTCCTGACCTCGTGATCCACCCGTCTCGGCCTCCCAAAGTGCTGGGATTACAGGCTTGAGCCACCGCGCCCGGCCTACACTCATTTCTTCCAGCCTCTACTTATACCTTCACATTTACCACATTTTACTAAAAGCCAGCAAGCAAGTCCGGCTTTCAAGATTCTAACGGACACAGCTTAGAAAGAATGGTTTTGGCAGGCAGAGAGAAGATACCTAATTCATTTTTAGCTAAATAATATTCTGCCTCCTGGTGTTATTTCATTTATTTATTTGTATAGAATAATTATTTTTGGTTAGTAAGGAATAAATGCACAGGATTTAAAAAAACACACAGATAGTATGAAAGGTTAACAATGCAAAAGTGAGTCTTTCTCGAAACCCCTAGCCAAGACTCTCCCTCTCTAGAGGCAACTATGTATTCACTGTAGACAAGTATATATGCATGTTGCCCAGGCTGGTCTCCAACACCTGGCCTCAAGCAATCCTCTTGCCTTGGCCTCCCAAAGTACTGGGATTATAGGCATGAGCCACCACACCTGGCCAACTGAATATTATTTTTAAATGATATAGAATGTTATAAATCTCTCTGGATCATTATTCCAATTACAATTTATTTAACCAACATTTAATGTGCTTACAATATGCCAGGCACTGTTTTCATTTGCCCAATGCCTTATGCATATCAATAAGTGCTGATAAAGAGCAATTATATTTCTTATATTTCTAGAAAGTATATTCCTAGGGAGTATATTCTTTTCACTTGGAAATAAGCAATAAGCAACTGACTTTGATTTTAAAAAAAGAAAGCAAGAAATGGCCCAAACTGATATGAATTTAATAGATAACAAACAGAAAATTGTAAACTAAGGAAATAAATCACTTTAATTAGTGCTATTAGGTTTGTATGGCACGTTGACTTTATTAGAAAGAAAGGAGAGAGGGAATAAGAATATGCATGGCTAGAAAGAACACTGGAAGGATAAAATAAAACACCCATAGTTAACTGTGGGTAGTCAACTTTGGGTGTTTTTATTTTCTCCTTTATGTTTTTACATATTTTCTAATTTTTCTTTTTCTTTTTTAAAAATTTTTTAATTTCAGTAGCTTTAGGGGTACAAGTGGTTTTGGTTACATGGATGAATTGTATAATGATGAAGTCTGGACTTTTAGTATACCAGTCACCTGGGTAGCGTATGTTTTGTACCCAGTAGGTAATTTTTCTATCACTCACCCCCCTCCCACCTTCCTCCCTTCTGAATCTGCAATGTGCATTACACCACTCTGTATGCCTGTGTGTACCCATGCCTTAGCTCCCACTTATAAGTGAGAACATGCAGTATTTGGTTTTCACTCCTGCATTACTTCATTTAGGATAATGGCCTCCAATTCCATCCAAGTTGCTGCAAAAGTCATTATGTCATTCCTTTTTATGGCTGAGTAATATTCAAATACTCATTAAAATAGTAATAATAAATGCTGTTGATAAAACTTGTTGAATATCAATAGAGAAAAAAACTGATTTAGATTGCCATCTCATATCACAATATAATAAATTCCAAAAATATGAGGGTGAATTTAAAAGTTTGACTAGGGCCGGGCGCGGTGGCTCAAGCCTGTAATCCCAGCACTTTGGGAGGCCGAGACGGGTGGATCACGAGGTCAGGAGATCGAGACCATCCTGGCTAGCACGGTGAAACCCCGTCTCTACTAAAAAATACAAAAAACTAGCCGGGCGAGGTGGCGGGCGCCTGTAGTCCCAGCTACTCGGGAGGCTGAGGCAGGAGAATGGCGTGAACCTGGGAGGCAGAGCTTGCAGTGAGCTGAGATCCGGCCACTGCACTCCAGCCTGGGCGACAGAGCGAGACTCCGTCTCAAAAAAAAAAAAAAAAAATTTAACTAGAAAAAAACAAGATATATACATATTTCAATGACGAGCAGAGATAATTTCCCAATTGAAATGGGGATAAAAGAAATTATTCTATTGAAGCAACAGAAATGTATCAATTATAAAGTATTTGAGTTTAATGCTATTAAATTTGAAATGCTACATAAAGGGAAAAAAGATTAAAAGCAACAGAGTAGGGGAAAAATTTTAACTAACACTATAGACATAAGTTTTATCTCTAAAACTTTTAGGGAGCTGATAAAAATCTCTCAAGATAACACCCTGTCTCCAATACCCTATCATCCATGTCTGACAGAGGATAAGGACAGTCACAGTGTTCACATGGTAAAACACTGGAAGAAACATCCCCCAAGAATAGTTTACAGGTATGTACATTAAAACAATTTTTAAAGTACCACCTCACATCTATTAAGTAGAAAAAACTAACACTAGCTTTAATTTGATAGAAGAGTATGGATTTGGTTACATGTTGCTTACAGCACATTCAGCTGGTACAGTCTTTCAGAAAGGAATTCTGTTAAGACAAAGGTCATTAAATGACAGCTTATGATCCAGCATTTCTTCTTTGAGCACTATATCACGAAGAAATAATTCAAAAGAAAAAAATTTTACAAAGATATTTATAGCTGCAGCTATATATTAGAGCTAAAATCTGGAAACAGCCTGAAGGTCTGTCTGTGGGGGAGAATAGTATACTAATGCAATGGAATATACTGCCACTAGAAATTACAAATGTGAGGAATGAAAAACATTTTGGCAACAACTATACCAAGTAATGGTATTTTTAAAACAAAGTTAAATTTATAAAGGTAGAGGTGGGGAGACACTACATAAAATTATGTCTCCATAAATAACAGGTTGAGGCCAGGCGCCGTGGCTCACAACTGTAATC